CTATTCTCTTGGGCATTTTTCCAAAAAACCTGAAAACATCATACCACAGTGATATTTGTGCACCCGTATTTATAGCAGCACAATTTATCATAGCTAAATTTTGGAAACAATGCAAATGTTTACCAACTGAGTAATGAATATAAAGATGTGTTATTTTTATATAATAAGTATTATTCAGCTATTAAAAAAAGATAAATTTGAGGTTTTATAGGTAAATGGATGCAACTAGAGACAATACTTTTTTTTTGTATCTTAGAACGGGGTCTACAGGGTGTACAGGGTCTCACTGCATAGATGAGACTCATAGTGATCCTCCTGTTTACAGCCTCCCAAGCGCTGGGATTACAGGCACGCACCACCACGCTCAGTCTCAGTTGCCATCTCAGAGTGCCCCGGGGGTGGGGCCAGCATGGAAGGCCCAGGGATCGAAACCCCGGCCTCTGCTCCTGCTTGCAGGTGCTTTAATCTGCTGAGCTATTTGGCCGGGCCCTAGAGACAAACAAATTAAACTTGTATGTATAAACATTATTTTGCCTCCCTAGTGTAAGAACCTGAAAGAGTAAATAAAATCAAAAAGGCACAATAGATACTGTAAAACAGAAAGAATATGGGCAAAGGGAAGGAACAATTGCGATGAGGGAAAGGAGAAAAGAAGAAAGAAGAGAAAAAATATATGTGCATGTACACAAGACAGCTTGGATGATTACGCTGCTGATTTCTTCTGGTCTATTGAAAGGAACTGTTAACACTTAATTTTTTTTTTTCCTTCACTTTTAAGATTTTGATCAATTTTGCATGCTTATATCTGGTAATCTGAACAACTAATTTGAAGACAACAGCATGCAATATACCAGCCATTATTGAATTCCTATTATTTTGTTTAGCTCAGTTCTGTATTGTTTCTATCTTTTAAATTTATTTTTTACTCACACTAAAAATAAATGCACAAGTGCTGGTGAGATAGTTCAGCGGGCTAAGCATCTACTCAGGCAAGAGCAGGATCCCGGCATCACATGCTGCGCCCGTCCCGCCCCTGGGCACACTGAGCCCACAGAGTCTGGGCGTGGTGGTGCACACCTGTAATCCCAGCTCTGGGGAGGCTGAAAACAGGAGGATCACAGCGAGTCCAAACTGTATAGTGAAACCGTACCAAAATTCATTAGAAAAACCAAAACCAAAACCAAATGCATGCTTCAGAGACTGACAGAGTGTCCTAGTGCCTGGTACTTCAACATAAACGGTCAAGATGGCCAGTCTTTTGAAACCCCAGAGGCCCACAGGGGTTGGCTGTCTCATTTTGGGCCTCTCCATCTTACCAAGAGGTCAGAGTAAGGGTTGGGAAGAGGATCCAAGACTCCCTGTGGTCGCGCCTGTCTTCCCTCCACCCCACTCTCTCCAGCGTGGGTTCAGGTCTCTGTGTGGCCCTGAGCTGCCAGCCGACCCGACTCCTATCCTCGTTCCTTCCTAAGTGATCCTGAACCCTGGTCCCTGAAACAGGGTGGCCAGTGAGGTTGCCTGGCACACTGCCAACCGCTCTGCTCTGTGGGATGAGGGAGGCCTCCGGTGAGCCTGTGCTGCGGGTGTCCTCCTCGGCACCTTGGCGCGTGACTTCAGGTAACAAGCCAACTGCTGCTCACACCCTTGTCTCCTCAGAGGAAGAGGCGGCTTTTCGTTTTCTAGTTCTCTCTTGATGTTCCCATGAGTGCACACACATCTCCTTCGCTGAATGAAGCTCGTGGGTTCAAATCCCCTCAGCGCACGTTTGCAGCACGGCGGCTCTGCTGCGGAGCTGGCGCCAGCACGCCCATGCCCAGTTCCTCTTCATCCCTGGGCTCCCTGCCCCGACCTCTCGGTCCCCTTCCTACTTGAGAAAGATCTGCCCACTACCTATTATCTTTTATTTTTGTCTTTATAATTCAAGTTCCTCAGAGGAGAAACCATGTGATATTTAAGCTCGGGCCCGATGTGTTTCACTCAGATCCTTTGTATAAAGCCCTACCCTGCTCACTGAAGAGACCGCCTCCTCCCTGTGGACCTTTCACACCTCAGAGCGCTTGCTTTAAAATAACGAGCCTCTTTCTGTCAGCCGGCCGAGATGCCAAAAGGGAAGAAGGCCAAGGGCAAGAAGGTGGCCCCAGCCCCTGCTGTCATGAAGAAGCAGGAGGCAAGAAGGTGGTAAATCCCCTATTTGAGAAGAGGCCAAAGAATTTTGGCATTGGACAGGATATCCAGCCCAAGAGAGACCTCACCTGCTCTGTCAAATGGCCCCACTACATCCGGCTGCAGCGACAGAGGGCCATCCTGTACAAGTGAAGGTGTCCCTCGTGATTAACCAGTTCACCCAGGCTTTGGACCGCCAAACAGCTACCAGCAGTTTAAGCTCACCCACAAGTACAGACCAGAGACCAAGCAAGAGAAAAAGGAGAGGCTGTTGGCCTGGGCAGAGAAGAAAGCTGCTGGCAAAGGGGATGTCCCCGGTCATCCCGGTCCTCAGAGCAGGTGTCAACACTGTCACCACTCTGGTAGAGAACAAGAAGGTTCAGCTCGTGGTGATTGCACATGACGTGGAGCCCATTCAGCTGGTCATGTTCCTGCCTGCCCTGTGTTGCAAGATGGGGTTCCCTTACTGCATCATCAAGGGGAAGGCCAGGCTGGGGCGTCTGGTCCACAGGAAGACCTGTACCACTGTCGCCTTCACGCAAGTCAACTCGGAAGACAAAGGCACACTGGCTAAGCTGGTGGAGGCCATCAGGACTAACTACAATGACAGACACGATGAGATCCGCCGTCACCGGGGAGGCAACGTTCTGGGTCCAAAATCTGTGGCTCGTATTGCCAAGCTGGAGAAAGCAAAGGCTGAAGAGCTTGCCACTAAACTGGGCTAGGCGTACTCTTGAGTTTTCTGTACATAAAAACAATAAATTGTCCTTAATCCAGTGTAACATAAAATAACGAGCCTGTGGCAATTCCTGTAATAGGTCACTCTATGTACACTATTCTTAGTTTTTAACCACATATTTTGAAAACCATGTTTCCATCAAAATTCAAAAAATGTACAAAGTTTAAAAAGTTGCAGTGTGCTGAACACCTATGTATGCATTGGGACAGCTTAAGCTTCTGTGCTGTTTGTTGTATTTGAGGTTTTGTGAATGGTTTTCATTCAACGCAAGACTTATTCATATAACCAAACGTTATTCTTTATTCCTTGTTATGGCGAGTCTAGGCGTCCCCCCAAGGCCTCATGCAGTCACGGGGCAGTTTCTAGGGCTTGTGATTAATTCATGATCCATGTTTAAGTTATGGGTGTGAGTGCTCCACCAAAGGACAGCCTGATTGCAATGTATGGGAGAGAGGCTTGTCCTTTGCTGCTGCCACTGTTCCTTTGTTCTCGCTGTTTTCTGCCACCATGAACTGCTGCCCTCTGCCATGTGCCACTCTGCCTTGGAGCCAGCTGATTACAGACTGAAACCTCCATAAATTGAGCTAAATAAACCCTTCCTTCCTTAATTGGGGGTGGCAGGTTATCTTGAGCAATGAGAGCAAAGCAAGCGAGACGCTTCCCACTTTTGGCAATACTACTGCTCGTGCAACTGAGTGACCCATGGTTTTCCTTCAAGGGTTTCATTTGCTAACAATTAAAATTGAAGTCGAGTTTTCGGACTGCTACCCAGTTTTATCAACACCTTTTGGGAATCTGGTTTGACCACTGATGCACATGTTGTCCTAGGAACTCCGGGCTTTGCTCTGAGGTAGCCCCGCCGTGGCTACTGCAGATTAACTTTTGATTTCCTTGACTTCTCCAGCCGTTTTACACAGAAGCACTGAAAGCCAATAGGATTAGGCCCTGACTAGGGCAAAGGTGACTTTGCACCAGGACTGCAAATGTCCTTAGCTTTCGTTTTTTTTTTTTTTTTTTCCGGAACCTGGGATTCTACTGAGCCATCTCCCCATCCAAAACAGATCCTTTCACTTTGCAATTAACTTAGGATGCTTGGGAATTTAGTTTTCAGTGCCTAAGTGTTGTTTCTCAAAGGTACTAACAGGTAGGCCACTGCCCAAGGGTGAGATCAGATGGTAGCTAGGCACCTTTCGGGCTGGCATTACAGTGAACAGGCCTCAGACAGGAGTTGTCTAGCGTAGGCTCCAGGAGGTGGGGCTTCTTCTCGGGCTGTCTGTCCACTCCGTGGCCCCTCCTGACCTGCAGGCTGCCAGGACCCACAGCCATGATGGCCCTGTGAGCTCTCCACCCCACGCACCCTGCCACACAAAGGGAGCGACCCACAATGAAGAGAAAAGATATTTAATTATTTCTCTAAAGCGCTCAGTGTTTTCACAAGTGCAAGGGGGAGGGATTGTTCTCAGCCAAGTTACCAGTGATTCCGACACACGCAAAGAAACTCCAGATCACACTGCTTTATACTTTTAATTTCTGCACTGAAAAAGAAAACGCAGGTAAAAACAATGACAGATCAGATTACAGTGACTTTGTCTCTGCCCTTAACGTTTGTTCTTGGGGGCAGAGACATGAAAAACATCAAAGCACGATAACGGTGACCAGGACACTTTGGTCCAGCTCTGGACACAGTGCTGTTAGTGACCAGCTTGGGAACACGGACAGTCAACAGTTAAAAGGTATATTAAAAAGGAAAAAAAAATCATCCCATGACTTCATTCTTAAAACCAAGCACAAAATTTGACAGTGAAATACCTCCAGGGCTGTGTCCCTGGCAAGCCCCAAGGCAGCTTCCGGGATGCGGCTCGGTGCACCCTGGGGGTAGACGTTTGCTCAAGCGCCCTGGCGCAGGCGCCCTCCCCTCCTGGAGCGGGGACTTCCTGTCTTGCAAAGGGGCACCCGTGGCTCACTCCCTGCCCAGTCTCCCGAGTGACAGCAGCAGCCTGGGGAGGCGGGCAGGGCACTGTGCTTTGGAGGCTGAGGCCCCTGGAATGTTCCTTGCTCTCAGGTCTGGTTGGGCTGTGGGTTTTTAGTTATGCTCCACACATTGTTTAAGTGCTTGCTTTATTTTTCATGTGCAAACTGTTACTGTCTAAAGCTTTCAGAAGGACACATACAGACATGAGCACCCTGCAGAGAAACGAGGGTACTAGGCCCTCTCCCTCCTGGGGCAGGGAGGGGCGCGTTACAGAAACGGTTAGAGAAGTGTGTTCTGCGGCAGTTCCGTCTAGTCCCTGACTCGGTCCCTTGGGCGGGTGGGGCATCCTCAGTAGGTGATTGTCCACTCCTTGACAGAGGCATCGTGGGAGGTCGTGACCAGCGTATGCTCGTCCAGCCAGGCGAGGCTGCTCACATGGTGCAGCCGGTGTGCATCTGGGCAGAAACAGAAAAGGGAATTCCGTTGTTCCCAGAGGGCTGAGTGGAAAATACAGTGCATGATCAATTTTCAAGTTACCGTGAGGCACGCTGCCATTAATCCCCTTGAGAATACCCTTCTCCTTGAACACACTCCGTTTTTGTGGCTGCCCTGAACTGATTCCAAAGGTGTGCCTGCATGGCCATTCTGGCACTGGGGAAGAGACGGCCACAGCACCAGATCTGGTGCACAAGGTGGGTGAGGACACACCACCAAGTTTCCATGTGCCCAGCTTTCCACGGGATGGGAATGGAATAATCATACTTTGTGAAGATACTCAGGACAGCGGGCTCCGAGCAGTTTCAGGGAGGGGCGAGGTGAACAGTATGTGGGAAGCGAAAGGAAGCTGTCCATGGGCTTCGTGCAGTGTCTTACTTAGACACTCACTGAATGGTGACCACACCAGCATGTACACCTGGGACCAACAGCAGGAAGCCAGCAGGGCCTACCTCAAGCAGGCCCCTGGACACTGAGCGCAGGGGGCCGTTAGTCAGATCCCCTTTCCCTTGGGGAAGGCCCACAAGGAAAAGCGTGGTCCTTCTCACGCTCCTGCCCCAGGGGCTGCGCCCTACGACACGCGGCAGGATACAGCAGCATTCCTGGTCCCTGAGAACTTACCTGGCAGCTCCTTTCCAGGTTGCAGCACCCCTTACCCTGGTCCAAGGGGTGAAAATTTTCTCTTTTTAAAGTATGAAGCAACAATATTCAGAAACAAACAGATACACAACTGGCCCCAAGTGTCTGCAGGGTCCCCACCAGCCCAGGATAGAAAACGTGTGCGCACCAAGCACAGAGACTCCCTCTGTTTCCGACGTGGCCCTTGTCTGCGGTGTGCACCATGTGTCACGTAGCTGATATATACAGGAGCACGTATGTCACGGGGAGGGGCATTAAAAGGAAGGGGGTAGGGGGCTAGGGATACAATGTACCGGGTAAAGGCTGAGGAACACAGGGCTGAGGACTTCAGTCTTACTTTCCCTAGGCAATCACAGTGATGGCGACAGTGCCTGGATTCCAGGTTGCTTATCATCCCTACTTCTCAATGGTGACAATTGGCCTAGACCTCTGGGGTCACCTCTTCATTGTTCTCTCCAAGGAAGGGGAGTTCCTGTCTGCTCTTCCAGCTCTGATGCTATGAGACTCAGCAGGTAGGCGGCATGTGGGCCCAGAGACTAGGATACTTAAACTACCTGAAGCTAAGGTCAGGTTTGGGGCTATACCCTATCACCATGCTGGTTCTCCTGGGGGCAGAGCCCATCCCCAGGCAAGAAAGCCGGCCTGGGGGCCAACCTGTGTTGGGCAGCTCCTCACCATATTCCACACCATTCATTCCTGCTGTTACCGAGGTTTTATACAAAGCAGCATAGTCCTAGGAACCTGCTGAAGCTCCCCCCCCCCGCACCCGCCAGCCCCCTGGGAACCAAGGACACAGGCCTGCAGCCCCCACCCCCCACGGCCTCTGAATCTCTTCTCCACAGGGAAGACTGCCTTCTGGGTGAAGAACAGGTGGGAGGGACGAGGCTGCAAGGGAGACCTGACAAGAGTGGCACAGCAGAGCAGAAGGGAGGTACAGCAGCAGGTGACAGGCGTCATCCCACTGTGGGCTACCAGCACATGTGACTGCAGAGACCTGGAAGGACAGAAGTGTGGACAGGAAGGATGAGGTGCTGGGTATAGTCATATGTGCCACGAAAAAGCACTCAGCCAGTTTCCTTCTAAAATGTGGAACTCTCACGCTGGCCACCCAGGGGACACCACTGCCACCGAGTGGCAGAACCCAGTCAAGGGCTGAGTTAGGAGCTATTGTGAGCCCTCTGCATGCATGTCCCATGTACGTGCTGGCTGGCCAGCACAGCCCCGAGGCACTCTGCAGCCTGGCTGAGGGCCGACTGCTGTGAGGTATGGGAGTGGCAGTCACCTTGGATCTTGACTCTGGTTTCCGGGTCACTCAGGGTCCAGACATACACCATCATGTCCATGCCGCCAGAGGCAAAGTGTTCGTTGTCTGGTGACCAGGCCAGACACACGATTTTTGCATGGTGCCCATAAAAGACGTTGTTCTCCTAGTTGTGGGTTGGAAAGAGGCAGAAAGCTTGGTTACCTGGTGCCAACCCGTTATCCCTCTGCACCGGGGCAGTGAGCATGTGCAATTTCTTAGTGCTTGATCTGCGTCAGCCACCCGAGTCTACTGGAACCTCTAACTCCCACTCACCGAATAGTCATCAGCAACATTGAATACAGTGACCACCTTGCTGGCGTCACACACGGCAAGGAAGGCGCCGTCGTGGGAGTAGGCCACGTCTGTCACAGGGCCCTTGGCCTCCAGGAGCTTGCCTTCATCCTTGAGAGTTGTGCCCAGGATGGAGTAGATGCGGACATTGCCATCCTGCAGGCGAGGACAGAGTGAATCAGCCCCAGCACTGTGACAGCCCGCCTGGAGGCAAAGGTCAGGCTGTCAGCAGAAGCGCCTTCCCTCTGCCATCCAGCTCTGAGCCGGAGCTCCTGGCCCTGCATGGAGGGCGCCCGCTGCAGCTCATCAACACTTGGGGCTCCCTCTCAGGCAGTGGGACTCAGAGGACTCAAGCCCAACCTCCGTGTTCTGATTCTGCAGGTTGGGCAAGGTGGCACTCTGGGCCGACCTGGGGAGCCCCTGCCCACCCCGGCTGGGTGGGGGCCTCTGCCCTGCTGTCTGCTGCAGAGCTTTTGGTCACCTCACTGTGCTAGGCATTCCTCCCTCCCCAGGGCTATCAGCCTAACTGCTGCATCCAGGGCCTGGCCCCAGCAAGCCACACTTGCCTTCATGGTGGCCCCACCACTGGGACACCAGCATCACTGCCCTGGATGGCCACTGAGCCCTTCCTGACCCTTCTGTAGCAGAAGTCAGGGCTCTGTCATTTGAGGGGAGCCATCACCCACAGGGGGAGCCTCAAATGAGGGAACAGCCAGTGTCCACTAACCGGCAGGTCACTCTGGGCATCAGGGAATAAAGGAAAACCACGCTGCGTGTGCACATCTGACAGATGAGCCAGAACACCTGCTTGCTGGAGCGCCTGTCACTGAAGCAACTACAACTGTGCGTCCAGAGCACAACAGGAGACCGAGTGCAAATGAAGCTGTGATTCACAAAGACTGGGGCCAGGGGAGGCCAAAAAACCTTGAAATGGCCACACCTGTGGTGTAAGCTGGGGCAGTCTGCCTACCACCTCGGTGGAGTGCTCCCTCTCATGTCAGTGGGGTACCCACAGGCCAGCGACACTGTAGACAGTGGCTCCAACCCTATCTGGCTGACTCCTGGGTCCTGGGCCCCACCCTCACACAGGAGGAGCGGCTGCAGGGAGGGATGGCTAGCCTGGCAGAGGACTCCACAGAGGGCAAGCGGGCAGAGCTGTCACACATGTGCCAGGTGCCGTGGACAAAGCCCTCCTTGCAGACCAGCCCTGGAACCCAGAGAGCAGTGGGAAGGCATCAGCTCTGTACACAGCTGGCGCCCTGGGCCCCAGTGGGCTGGCCATCACCTGTAGACCAGCTCTCCCAGCACGAGGACCAGAACACGGAGGGGTCAGCTACCTCCTGCATGGGATGCACTGCTTCCCTATAGGACTTGGCGCCTGCATTCCAGCTCAAGGGCTCCCCAGTCGCGCCCCCACCTGCCAGAGCCTGGGAGGATGAAATGCACGGGGCACATAGTGCTCAGGCCCTGACCCGGCAGACACGAGCTCTCATACACGAGCTCTCACTCTACCCCATGGGAAAGCACCCCACGGATGACTCAAAGATAGAATTTGGAAAACTGAAGTCACCAGAGTGGCTCTGTACTAAAAAGGTACTGGGAAGGCTCGTCACTCAGCGGCAAGACCCACGGGATGCTGTCCCAGCTGGGCACACTACCTTCTCTCTCTCTTTTTTTCTCTCTCCTCTCTC